ATTAGTTCGGATTTCTAGAAGCCGATATAGCAATCCATCGTTTTTATTTCGTGGATAGATAGTCCGAAGTGCTCTCTACAAAATAAGATCCAAGCAAAAGTTTGACTTTGTTTGGTTTGGGCCCTACGAAGATTTTTCCCGAAGCCTTAGGATTTCTTTCATTAGGTTTAGACTGTCAAACATGCATGAAAACGCAGGTTGTCGACCATGCTGAATCTTGTGACAAAATCTGTTTTTCATAAAAGTTTCAAAAACCTCGGAAAGAATTTTTGACTGGAGAACCTTATCTGGACCAGCAGATATCACTCGTTTTATAACGTGTTGAACGAGCTTGAAATCTAAGAAAACATAACTTTATTTATATTCAAATGACAGCGGCTTCCAAGATTGTTCGTATGACACAACAATGAAGTCTCTAGCGCTTTTTACTTCTTCATGGTAAGTGTAGCTGTGAGACCTACTTGACCCTTCTTGGCCTCCTCCCTCGAAAACTACACACCAGTTGTTCGAGATCTTCTTAGCCCACACATACTCGACTAGTGCTACAAAAGGCGCAAGGTATTGCGTTGGCAAGGTGGTTTTCTTATGGCGGCTTCTAGAAATCCCGTAAAAATCCTGTCATCTGGCTACAGTCAGGAACGGGAAAAAATACTAAATTATCCATAAAATGACATACTGAATCCGAATTTCAGGTTGGTTTGTATCCAATACATTATGAACAACTGAGAATTTTGACGGGATTTCTAGAAAACCGCCACAAGAAAAACCACCTGGCCCAAGTTAATACCTTGCGCCTTTTGTAGCACTAGTCGAGCAGTGTGTCAAAGTAGATCTCACGGCTACGCTTACCATGAAGAAGTAAAAAGTGCTAGAGACTTCATTGTTGCGTCATACGAACAAACTTTCATAAAGCATTTTTTCCTCAAACTTCCATAATGCGGGCATCAAACTAGACTTGGATAGTATTCTCTTGAATGGTATTCCGAATAAACAGACATTTTTCTTTGTTTTATGACTGCATGTGCGTTCAATACCAAAATATCCAGCTAATGGATGATCATGATGAGTGAATAATATATCTTTGATTAGTGTTTTTGGAATATAAGGTAACCGAATTTTTGTTTTTCCTCGTGGTAATAATTTAAACACAACAACATCTCTAATTATAAACGATGACTTTGACGGATTTTGTTTGACCAAGTTAAATGTTTCTATAATATTGGTGTCTGCCATTTGTTCTTTGCTAATCCGATCTAGGCTTAAGTCGAAAAATGGCGGCAAAGGATTATTTGTTGACGATACAGGCGCTGGAATAGATGGCATGACGGTGGTCGAAGACGGTACAGGCGATAGACGTTTTGCTTGTTGGTGCGTAATGGCTGCATTTAATTGTGTAAAAAAGTTAGATGGCAGACGTTGTGATTTAATTTTCCATATTTGTGTGCCTTGACACCAATCATTATCAAGTGTGGGGTTTGAAGATATTGACGATATGGGATATTTTGAAAGAGAATCAGGACCGGTATTCTTTGCGCGTGGCAAGTATTTCACTTCAGTAATTTGTGGTATAGTGTCTTGTAATTTAAAGGACCAATGCGTTACACGTTTGTTGTCAATTTCTTTTTTATGAAAATTAGTCAATGGTTGACTGTCCGTCCGTTTAGATGGAAAAAAATGAATCGCCAATATACTCTCGTATTTTTTTGAACATCAAATGGAGTTGTGAATATGACAATGGATACACATTGAAATAGCAACATGAACATTAAATGTACGTCTTTTTTACGGGTTCTTCTAATCTGTCCATATCCATTGTTACCGTCTGTAGGAGTGATTTGCGGATACATTGCGTTAACATTGAGGATGATGAAAGTTCCAAGTATTGCCGTCAACAGAGACGGTCCTAGAACATAAGTTATGCGGTACTGTAAATCAGAAAAGATGCGATATGAGCCACTGACAGCATTACATGTGTACAACAATGCACATCATGTGTACGCATATAACAATGTACATAATGATTGAAAATAAAAGTTGGTTACGAGTCAATGTTTTTGTAAGTAAAGAAACAATTATTAGTAATAAAAATTAAAGTAACAATTGTTAACAATTATTGTTTTTGCACCGGAAAACAATAACGATTAATAAGTTCAATTCGAATCTTTGTGCGCTTTAAGTACGCAAGTTGAAATGTAGGAAGAATGAGAGTGATGGATACTTTCTATAATGGAGTACAGCCATTCGGAGTACAGCAACAACTACACTCTCATTTACATGGAACGCGCACACAAAAAGGTTCGAGACTGTATTACAATTGTTTCTAGTATTCATCTTTTCATATAGTTACAATCTCATTGACCCTTACAGTCGGATTACGATTTTCATGTATTTTCCGCAGTTTTAATGTAACGGGGCCTCCATGACCGGTACACCCCTCTATTGGCTAAATTAATGTTGTATTTTGGGTTGAAACTTTAAAGAGACTCGTTGGTTTAAAATTAAAATTAAACTAAATTATTTCATTCAGCATAATCAACTTTTTCTTTTCTTTGACAGATGACTTTTTAACCTTATTTGTAGGATTGCTATGAAAAAATAATGCAAAAACAAGCCGCTTATTTGAATCTGGTAGTAGCCCAAGAAAAGTCAAATTATACTTCCTTTCTGGCTGAAAAAATTCACTGTCGTTATACTAAACATCTATTGAAACAAAGAACGAACACTATGAACTCTTCATCAGTTAACTCTGTCACTGATTGTTCTTACTCAACTTGGAGTGTATAAAAAGAAAACGATAATATTGTTCTATTGTCAACATTTTTGCTTATACAAGTGACCGAATTTTCTAACAAATATTGAAAATAAAAATTGTTTTTGTTACTGCTATTGTTAAAAACATCGATAGTCATTGAGTTTTGTAAAATTGCTCGGAGGAACCAAAAAATCTTGTAGAGGTTAGATCTTAAGAGTGATGACTTTAGTCATTATTATACTTTTCCCTTTGTCAATAAAGTATGGGTGAGTCTATTGGCACTCCCATGCAAAAAATTTTGCTGGGCGTGTTAACAAGGACGTCATCTAACATATGAGCGATCCGACGTTTGAGTGTTTCTCGAACTATACTTTGACCTGCAAGATTCGAATTGTATATTCGCGTTTTAAGTTGTTGCTCGATCTGTCAATACGTTCATGTCCAAATGAAGCCAGATTAACATTCTGTTTTTAATAGACGGAAAAATGAGATCTGTAAATAAATAAATGTGCATCAGATGAAATTTTAAATAAGGAATTAGAATATTTGAAGAATGTGTTATATCATAATGGTTAAGATTTATGAGCCATTGTAGATAAGTGACGATCAAAGGTGCTCAATGGGACCATCTTAAATATTTTCCAACACAGGGTTTAAAAACATCTTTTCATGAATCGTAGCAAAACCTTAGGTCTAGATATTCCATCAACATATTCAGTTTTTACCAAAAACTGTGATGAACTAAATGCCGCCATTGATTTGAGAATTTGGTGCTCGCTCACGTGTCGACGTGGTCGCTTGGTTTAGAGTCTAGCTGTCGCTTTGTCTGTGAGTAGTAAAGGTCACAACTAGTTCTTATAACTTCTATCGAAAGAAGAAAAGAAAGGAATCAACTTGTTAGTAGATGAACAGAGAAAAAAGAAAGAGAAAAAATCTATCACATTAGTTTTGTCTGTTAATACGTGAAAAGCCTGCAATTGTATATATAGCCAAAATAAGATTGCACACTTAAAGAAGAGAATAGAGTCAACCAACAGGAAAAAAACAAATAAGAAGAGGAAATATATCAGGAGAGAACGCTATATATGGGATACCTTGTGAATGTAGGATATCTACCCTTATCGTTCAGTCTACCTTTCCGCACATACAAAACTGGCTAACATACAAGTTTTTCAGAACAAATCAAAGTTGAGCGGGGCAAAACTAAGTCTCACTTAATTTAGCGATATGTCACATTTCCGTTCTGTGCCTCTAAATCTTGACCATTCGTAGTGTGGAAAAAGCAAATTATTGATTGCTGCTCGAAAAGATAGTTCGATAGGCAATACATTCTATTGTCTTACAATCCACGGAAAGAAAGAATTTTAAAATTTTACAAAACGTGTACGAAACGAATTTATTTTATCTCTCCCTCTTGAACAACCAGTTGCTCTCGACATTCAGTACACAAAAGCATCTGTCTACTCTTAACGAAAGTAAATATGAATTTGTGTTTTTGCTTTTTAACACTTAAACAAAAAATCGAGTTTATCAAAGAAATAGCAGTACGGGTAGTACTGCTATATAAATAAGCTCTTTTGTTATGGCTCATTTATCTTTTTTGCTTTATTTAAAGATTACCATACAATCATCTCACTTATTGTTTCTTTTCACAGTCATAATATACTTAGTCTGATAACATTGATTTTTATCCAGTAATTCTGCTAGTTCTGAACCAGATGGTATTTTATCTATAAACAACCATTGTATCTTCAGCTTTTCGAGGTGTCAATAGCTCTTCCTACCACCTCCACCAGGTGTCAATAGCCATTCCGAAGTAAAATTCATGCTTAAAAATTCATAGTCTTAGTGTTCGATTTCAACAACTTTGTAGTGTTGTTTTGTGTTTTGTTTTTCCTCTGTTCTATCCTAGTCTTTCTCTTTCAATCAAAGTTTCCGACCACTATTGCGTATAGTGTAGCCAAGCTCTTACATAATAATAACAAGGTTAAGAATACCACAGCTCGGATTTTGCTCATTTCTTCCTAGATATTGTCATCTAACGTCGATCAGATTCAAGCTTCAGAAGCATAGTCTACCATTATCTTACTTAAAAGTATTATTTCGGCCGAACCCGAAGTTATACAACCACAATTTGGCTTGGAAGTAATTTTTTTTGCAGCCGTTGTTTGAATCTAGATAGAGTAAGATGATATCAGTCTATTATTAGATCATGCCTCCACAGAACGAGCAAACCTTATAAGCAATTATTTTGTAATGTTAACAAAGACTGTTTGGTAGTCCAATCAAACCAAATTCGATCTAAGGAACTAACCAGAAATACAACTAAAGGTTAAACAGTCATGAAAACTAAAGATAACTTACTTCAGTTTGAATTCCTCACTAAGAATAATAGTCTTTTCGGTGTTCATGGCTGACGGCATAGATACAGCTGCTGCAGGCGGTGTCTCACTCACCTCTTTTTCTTGTGCTAATCCTAAACGAGAGAAAGAATGTCGACAATTAATTCTGTTAAATTTAGCTCCAACTGACCTGTCTCGGTTTTGACGAAGGGTGCTATAATTAATGGAAATTTTGGTTGAATTTCTTTGATATGGATTATGTGCAGTCCGTCGGCAGGATTCAGCTGGCCAACCACGTCAAAATATGTTCCGGGCATCAAAATCACTTCTTTTTCGGTTTCATTGAAATATGAATGTTTCATAATGGATTTTCCCGTCGTGCATTCGATTGAAAACAATGTACGAGTACCTGTTTTGCCAAAAAAACTGGGACGCATTAAGCACATCCGGTGTCATGGTACACGAACTGACGCCCCACCAAGCAAACCTGACGGCAGTCTTGTACTTTTCACTCAAATCCACATTCCGAACACCCCTCCAAACCGTTGTCTGTGGCTGAGACGGAAGTTT